AAAATATTGCTTATTAGGCTCATCTCAAAGTATGGATATTTGGGGTATAGTTCAACAAGACAAAAATATACAAACGATTGTATTACGATCAGAAGAAGATACCTTATTACGATTAACAAAACGAATTGTCCCATTACTCATGCGGCACAATTTCGAAATCGATGCTTGTGATTTACTCGTTGAAATTGAGCATATACATTTAATGAAACAATTTGTTAATAAAGATAGATACCCAAGAATATGTCTGTATTTAACTAGGTATGTATACATTTGGTTCGAAACAATAGCAAAACGTTCGTTTATTTAGATCTGCTGAATTATTGCCGTTTGATCGCGACGAAATAATGGAAACTCTTCTGAAGTGTTATTTGAAATATAAGAAATATACCAATGCTCTTCGTTGTGCTATCCATTTAACTATTAATCAACAGAATTTCGTCAGTTATGTTTTTCGTCAATGTCAATGTAGGTAAGTATACCTTAACCATCTTTTTCTCATCTTATGATAGAATGGAAAGGGATCTTGTGGTTTACTTGAAAGTTTTAATGTAACTTGTTCTCTCATGTTAACTCTTGGGAAGAAAGAGGCAAAAATTTCTGTCCGAACCTCTAGTAGAAATAAACGATAAAATATATGCTACAAGTGTAGAGCTTCTACAGCTCCAAGAAACATAGTGCAGAAATGTATAAGCTGCGGTGAAAAAATTACTGATATTCTCTTTTCAAAGTGTAAATATACCAATAGTTGTATCAACAATCTATGTCAACAGTTAAACTCACGAAAAAGTTTTTCCTGGGCTATATGTATCTGTACTTGTTTTAGTTTAACTAGAAAACAGCTCGCATTCATCCTTGCTGACCAACAAATTATTTGTAATCTATCTAAAGTAAATAGTGAAGAAGATTACAAAGAATTGACATATATTATGTCGAACGAATATTTGTCAGTGTATTTTCGATCAGTCATACGTCAATTAGGAATCATAGAAGCTAAGCTTCCAGAAGATATTTACAAAACACATTTAATGAACACTACACAAACGAGTTTTAGTCAAATCATTTCGTCGAAACAAAATTTAGCTTCAGTATTTTTCAATGCATTAGTGAACTGTGGATTTGGGCATGATAAACTTGTTAGTGAAGATACCAAATGGTTCACAAAATATGAAAATGACGGTAAGCTTGTGTTTATTTTGATACAAGTAGTTGCTGAATGAAGGAGTCGGTGTTTATTGGACTTTTTTTCTAGAAAGTAATGATAGTAGATTTAGACTCCGCACTGTTTTTCAGTTTTTTGCTATTTTTCTTTTTCTCTATAAACAGGTTTATTGAGTGCCATAGCATCGTTAGGTTTAATTAATTTATGGGATGTTGAAGTTGGTCTGTGTTCAATTGATAAGTATGCTTACAGTGATGACGATAATTTGAAGGTGAGTCGATCTCTTGTATAATTCTTTCAATAAATTTTAGATTTACTTTTTATCTAACAGTCTGGTGCATTATTGGCATATGGGATCGTGACTTGTAGGGTACAAAATGATTTTGATCCAGTTCTCTTCTTACTTCGAGATTACGTATCGCATAAAACAACGCTGTATCGTCTTGTATCCATAGTTGGGTAAATAAAAGAAATGCCTGTCACGCTGGAAGGGAGATTTTAGCCATCATAGCAGGCATCCCAAAAATATGAACTTAGGCTAAACTGTTAAGAATCAACCCGCTTCTTAGTCTCTTTTATAGTCGCCTACAGGACAATACGCAGTATTTAGTATCAAGAAAGTGAACAGTTCCTGTTTTTCGGTTCGACAGCTTTTTTTAGTCTATATGATCTGCTTTCTTCTTTTGATTTAGGTTAGGACTTGCATATGCCGGAAGAAATCGTAAAGACGTTGTTAATTTAATAAGTAATGCATTAAAAATAGACACACCATCTATGGAAGTAAGTGTTATCTCGTTTAGTGGTAAACTCTGTTCATCACCTGTCTCTGCATTGTTTTAGCTGTTTGCCTTCGCGTGTTTATCAATCGGTGTAATATCCGTTGGTTCGTGTAAGAAAAAAATTATAAGAACATTCTTAACTCTTCTCGTTAAACGAAGTAAACAAGAACTGAATGGCAAATTTGGCAAATTTATTGCATTGGCAATTGGATTATTATTTTTGGGTAGTAATTCTTTTATTCAGTAACCAAATTTTCCTTTTTTCTATGTTCAGGAAAAAGCGATGCTGTTGAAGAAGTACTCAAATGGTTAGAAGTATTCTATGAACCATGGCGTTCCTTTGCAAGAATACTCGTTGAATGTTGCGCTTATAGCGGTACTGGAAATGTTTTGAAAATTCAACAAATGCTTCATATATGTAGTGAATATCTCGAACAAAGCAGCGAGAACAATGTATGGTATCGTAGCCATTGTTCTACTTTTGGTTTATTTTAATTTCGATTTTTAGGACAATGAAAATGATGAAATGGTTCTTCCGAATTCTAATCATCAAGGCACGATTGACTTCTACGTTTTGGAAATGAATAGATATGCACCAGTTTTTTCGAAGGATCCACAAAAAAATGCTCTGACTTGGCTAAAACAAATCACAGATTAGCGATTAATTTTATAGAGAAATGTTTGTTACGTATATCTAAAGAAATAAGAAAAACTGAGATGTAAAACAGACAAATCGTATCTGTTGTTTTAACAACTGATAACAGTTTTAACGTACAATTATGAAATCTTGAAGGGCTCATATTTCTTTCACAATTATCTTCATAATTACTTTCATTGGCATATACGTTTAGCCTAAGCATCTCGGTGCGACACATAGTTACTGTGGACCCAGATTTTTCTAAACGCTTCAAAATCAGTTTAAAACCGGTGCATACCTAGAAATGAAGGATATATTGTTATTCTCTTTAGCTGCTGCAGTCATTGGTATCGCTGTAATAGCGGCGGGTGAACAAATTGGATCTGAAATGGCGTTACGATTATTTGATCATTTAGTAAGATTAATATGGAATCACTTTCTGTAGTAATGTTATTTTTGTGTGTTAAGCTACGTTACGGTGAGCCAGTTATCAAACGTACTGTGCCATTAGCACTTGCTCTGTTGTCCGTTTCAAGTCTAAAATTTAATATCATTGAAACACTAAGTAAATTTTCACACGATGCTGACAACGAAGTATCATGCAATTCAATATTTGCAATGGGAATGGTAGGAGCTGGTAAGATGTTTATTTTAATTTTACAAAGTTCAAACTGACTTTATTGTGGTATTCTTAGGTACAGGTAATACACGTTTAGCACAGATATTGCGTCAATTAGCTGTTTATTATTCCAATGATGAAAATAATTTATTTATGATTCAATTAGCTCAAGGTTTAATTTATCTTGGAAAAGGAACAATGACATTGAATCCATATCACAGTGATCGAATGCTGTTATGTCCGGTGGCATTGGCTGGAATATTAGTCGTACTAGTCGCATTTATGGATGTTAAGTCTAGTATGTACGACCAATGAAACAGCTCTCCAGTAAATATCCTTCTATTGAACTTATTGTGAGATGAATGAGTAGTACGTCACGATTTTATGTCCTATTTGAGAAGGATATATTAGATCGCAGTTCTTTTTATTTTGGATTGCCTTACCATGTACAACTCTGGTTCGCATTTCTGATGTCTGTAAATTAAAAAACACTTCGCAAAAAATGTTTTAGTTTTCCCTCTAGCTATTCTCGGACAACATCATTCATTATTATACTTCTTATCGTTGGCCATTCGACCTCGAATATTGGTTACACTCGACGAATCGTTATGTCAGTTACCATTACCAGTCCTAATTGGACAAGTATGTTCTTTTGAGTTTATTCCTTTTCAATTGCATCTGTGTGTTTGTTTGTTTTTATTCAGGCTATTGATGTTGTTGCTCAACCCGGTGAACCAAGAACAATCACCGACTTTCGAAGATATACAACACCGGTTCTGTTGGCGTATACTGAACGTGCCGAATTAGAGACTGAAGAATATGTAACATTGACGCCTATACTCGAAGGATTTGTTATTGTAAAAAGAAATCCAAATTATGCACTATAATGTTTTTGGACATTTTATTCTTGTACATTCAATATAGATGGACTTTTCATGTTAAAATTTTCAATAAACTGTTGACACGCTTTTATAAAATAGAAAACTATTTAAGGCTTTTGCTCGTTCTGGACGATTCGATTTTGCTTCATCGAATCATTTCAAAGCTGTAACAATTGCTAGAATTCATTGCGCCAAACGTATACATTGTTTAGTACTTGCTGTTTTAGAGTTTTGGTTTTCGAGAAATGGTTGAATGTAACAGTAACGGATCTACCAAAAACTTTTCGGTCCTGGTGGATTCGCAGAAAAGAGGAAGTTTAATATGTTTAATAAGTTACCTGCACATTTCTGATTAAAATGAGACATCTTCCAGCTCTACGCGACCTTTCTTTGCAAAGT